ATTAGATTTAATATTTTATTAAAATAAATCATGTATTATTTTAAAAATAATATTAAAATGATAGTGTTTTAATTAAGATACCGTCAAAAAAAATTTGTGACACAGCTGATCCACACTTTTACCTTATATATATTTTGCTAATCAACATGCAAACTCTAAAATGCAAATTCCAAAATTTGAATCCATACCTGACCTCCAAGACCCCTGAAATGTTTTCATATTAACATAATAAGATCGATTGAATTGTTGTCTTTACCTTGTACCAAAGGATTAAGGAAAATAGAACCAGCTTAATAGGCTTAATAATTTACCACCAAAATTAAACGTTTAAGCTTAAATAGTTAAGAGTTTGATTCTCTCCAATTTACTTGGAAAAAATTCTCCCTTCCCCCAAAATTTCCCATGTAAAAAAAAAAAAAACAACCTTAATATTAATAACTAAAACCCAAAAATATCCCCCATCTAAACAATCCAGCAAAAGTCAAACCAAAAAAACCTACTAACAAAGACAAAAATGAAGGAGGCAGATATTATTGGAGTTTAGCTGAAAGAATTATAATAAAGCCAAGAGAATTGAAAAGTTAAACATCATTAATTACTTCAGAAAATGGAACTCTGTATTATACATAAACAGTCATTCCTATTTGATAATATCAAAATCAATCATACATATATATATTTTATATTTAAAAAAAAAAAAAAAAGAGAAAAAGAGTTTTAGCATTATACTGCAACAAACAATGATTCCATAACACGAATTTTGTAAGCATGGAGTATGTATATGCACAATTTATTTCCCCTTATTCAAACATACTAGTAAGTAGTTGAAGACGGAGAGAGTAACGTTTGAACTTGTGTGTGTTTTGATTATGGTAATTTCTGGGTAGTAGTATTCCGTCTCTCATCAGGCGGTCCTATGAACAGTTCAGTCTCTACCTCCATGCTCTCTGTATTTTGTTCCTGTGATTCGTCTCGCGGTCGCATACTACACTGATTTAAGTTTAAACGCAGAAAGATCAATATTTGGAAGTAAGCAGTTTTCTTTATAATTAAATAAATAAAAATAAAACAATAATTGATATATTTTTTAATTTAATATATTTATTAAAAAGTTATTATTTTTAATCTAAAATTAAAAATAAATAAATTTAAAGATATAACCAAATATATAACATATAAAAATTAATTAATTGATTATATTTATATTATATTTTAATAATTAAGTCAAATAAACAGAAAAAAAATACGTGTAGAATAAAAAAATATACTAATAATTTTCCATAAAAATAACCCAAAATTGAAATCATAAATACCTTTTCTCGCAATTTTGCATTGTCATCCAACAACTGTCTCTCCTGAACCATGGAACGTACGTAGAAGTAAAGAAATTGTACAAAACTTAACATCAAAGGTATTTGTAGCTGACAAAATTAAAACATGCATATGTATGTATTTATGTAAAACACAATCACCTCTCCCTTTAGCTTCTCAATCCGTTCTAACAGCAACTGAGTCTGACAATATACCAAATAATTGATCTGTAAGTACTTTTATATACGCATGTACGCAAGTGTAATAATTTTAAGTCACTTATGTAATTAAGGCTATTGTTATATGCTATGATTTAGGTGGTTTGTGTACCTTTCTTGCCCTAATTTTGGCCAAGCTTCGGTCGAGCTGGGTTTCCAAGTTTTGCAAGTCATCAATAGAACACAGCCCCAATCCTTCTCCTAACAGTCTTCGTCTATAATCTTCAAGAAACTCAATCTTCTTTCCCAAGTCATGAGTCTCTTCCATTTCATTCTACAAAATAAATTAATTAAGGCATATATACTTTGAATTAATTAGCCTTTTAAACAACATAATGGCTAGCTAGTTACCAGAATATTTTCATGTAGTCCTTTGGTGTTTCCAGAGTGCTTTTCTGATTTCTTCTGATAACGTTCAATAGTCTTGTTCATGCTGAAGCATCACCCCAAAACATAGAGACGAAGATGGTTATGAAATTAATTAAAATAGTTACTAATTTGATTTGTTTGTCCCAAAAATACTAGCTAGCTTAAATATATACTCCATGAAGCAACTCAAAAACACAGCTTTTTTTTATAATAATGAGAAAGAAATCAATATTTCTAAGTTCAGGTTGAATCCAGAAAATCATGGCACCTTCTTTTTTTTTTTTTTTGGAGAAGTGAAAATCACAGCACTTAACAAAAAAACAGTTTTGAGAATTTTTAAAAGACAGCATCATGTGTCATTTCACAATTTTTGAAGACTTCAATAGAAGTAGTACAATAACATAATGTCTAAATTAACCACTTCGGATTAAGAGAAGGAAATTAAGTGGTGCACGCCTATACTGGTTCAACACGTTCTTCCAATATCCCCAACTTCTAGGAATTCTCTCTTCTCTTCTTTAGAAAAATTCCTTTTGGACCACAAACTTTCTGAAACAGTAAGAGACACTTTTGACTACATTGACCGTCTCCTCTCCGACAACATGGATTTTGTTGTGGATTAATCTCTAAGCCAAAGCCTAAATCAAGACCATATATAGCTCCTGTTAAAAAAATAAGAAGACCATATATAGCTAATAGCCACAACAAAAGTAAGGCTAATCGTTCTGCTTTTTCTTTCTCTAAACAAGTAGTCTTTGATGAAGAACAACATAATAAAAGCAACCTATGCTAGTACCCTAGCTAGCCACTGCATAGCTTTCATGAAATGATTGATGAATATAGAGACCTGCGCTAGTACCGTAGCTGGCTACTGCATAGCATTCATGAAATGATTGATGAATATATAGCTACTACATGTTACAAGAGAAAACATGAATGACCCGACCAGGAAAAAAAAACCTGAATGATCAATGTATTCTTTAATTTAATCATATGCTATAATTGATGTGTAGTATATAGACGTACTTCAAAGAATGAAAATATACATAAATAAATAAACATAACAATATATATAGAACCTCAACTGAAGTAGAAATGGGGTATATAATTAACCAAGTCATAATTAAGCAAATTAAAGACATTCATTCATCTGATAAAAAAAGTAATCTCTGAAATTAATATATAGGAGCATTGCTACACCAACGATATGTAATAGTACTTCAACGCTAGCAGCATCATCCTTAATTAAAACCAGAGTAAGCACATCTTGAAATAAGATGAAGAGGGGGTAGATTTGAGGTTGTAAAGTATATTTCCTTATGGGGACATGCACTGAAACTTTCAAATAAGGTGAATAATCTTCATCTACCATGAGTCCTCAAATTCAAGGCCTCCAGATGTTCTTTGCAATATTCACCCAAAGTTTCAACATGTCTTCTTAACCATCATTGTCTGTGAAGTATCTTAATCATCAATCTCTTATCTATATGCTAATAAACTCTTAGTAGCTAGTATTATATATTAATTATGGTTTTCTTCAAGTTGTCAGATTGCACATTAAACAAATGTATACAGACATATATAGGAAATACAAAGAATGCGATAGCCAATAGACTTAAATCATCTTTGACTAAGGAGAGTCTTTTTTTTATCAGCAAATGAAAATGAATTTTATTGCAAAGGAGCATAAGAAATACTCCAAGATGATTTAATACAAATCTTCAGAAAATTCTCGAAACTACAACTTTACCCATAACAGCACATGAAATAGTATGGTTAAAAAAACTGTACATAACAGCCCAGATTGACTAAAAAAGTCTATATGAAACTCACCATTTAGTTTTGGAAAAATTATAGAAATTCTTCAAGTAAGAATATTTCATGAAATTATAACAGTTTTAAAGATAGCAAATCGCCTTCAGGACGCTTGGTAAGGTGCACTACCCAACTCCACAGGCTTGGTTCAGTTTCCCTCCCCAAAAAGTTGTACTTGACTAAGAAAAAAGAGTTTTTAAAGGTCATTAAGCATAAGATCAAAATTGTAAAAGCATATGAGCGACTTTATAAGGATATATATGTATTGTGAGTTTATCAAAAAGAGCGAGAGAGAGAGAGAGAGAGAGAGAGAGAGAGATATGTATGGAACTGGAACCGAGCTTATTAACTAATTAATCATAGTAGGAATGGCATAAATATAATTATTAATTTAGTTAGATCACCTAATTAAATCTACCTGTTTTTACTTAATTAATTATAGTTAAGAGGCTTTAATTAGCTTACAAAACCACCATTAACATTGCACTCATCAAGACAAGAGACTTTAAGCAAGAAACTGAAGAAAATAACTCAAATCATGCATTTTGATCAAGTAATAGTAATTTCATCGATTCATTTTTCATCCTAGAGTACCAATATAACCACAAAATGGGGTTACCAAGTTCAACCTCCTGCTTGCGGCCCAAAAAGACAAAAGTACAACCTCCTGGTCACAGACTGGCCCCTTAGAAACAGCAATAAGAGTCCCATCAATATGAGCATGCGTATGCCTTTCAGTAATTAAATTTAGCCCAAAAAATCGTCTTCCACATGATATTATAAATAGTTCATTCCTAACTCCTGACATCTGTCAATAATCGTATAAAACAAGGTTTTCTGGATATTTAGGGTAAACTGTGCTCCATGGACATATACATAAAAGACTCGTATCTAAAACACTTTCTTCTGAAACTCAGGAAGGGAAATTTATCATGAATATCATATAACAAAAAAATGAAGAAACTAATCAAGAAATTTAGACACTAACCCTAGCTCTATGTGTAATTAAATTCTTCTCCTATCTCTTAATTAGAAAATTTAGTAAACTGAGGAAGGAATGAAACCAATCCGTACTTGGTTCACATCAAGTAACAAAAGGAAAAAATCACAAGCTTAGATTTGATTCTTAAAGGTAAAATAGAAAGGACACAGGAGAAAGAGAGATCTGAGATCAGATAATTTTGACTGAAAAAAAGGTCCCTCCTTTGCCTACTTTTGGTAGGGCTGGTTACCTTCCTGCTCCAAACATCACATTTAATGACTAAAAGAAATTAATTAACAGAAGAAACGCACCATGAACTAGAGAACTCATACAACTTCCCTCTAGTGGAGAAGATGATGAGTGCAACTTCAGCCTCACAGAGAACCGATAACTCGAACGCTTTCTTCAGCAGTCCATTCCTGCGTTTTGAGAAGGTTACTTGCCTGCTTGTAGCATTCTCTATTCTCTTCATCTGGGTTTTCCCTCTCACCATTTTCAGACTGTACATGAAGGGGAGAGAAAAAAAAAAATCCTGATCAGTCGACAAGTAACTCAAAATAAGCAAAACCCAGAAAGCTTTCCAAAAATAGAAAAAAGAATATATGAAGATCTGATACAAATTAGGAAAAAGCCGGCAAAAGCTTCTTGCTTTCTTGGTATGTGAGTGTGAGAGCTAATTAATGAAGGTAACCCCTTTCAAATCAAATCTGAGAAACCCTAGTTTTTGCAGTGAAGAATTGAGGATTTATTGTCCAATTTATTCCATTTTTCTTCCTCTCTAGGAACCAATAACCCTAGACTGCAAATATTATAAAAAATAATTATAATTCCAAAAAAATGAAAAAGAGAGAGAGAGAGTGAGGAAGTGACAACGGAAGAACCTAATCTCTTTCTTCTTTTGGAAATTTGAGAAGTGCAAACAAGCACCTCCTAAAAACAGAAAATTGGAGAATAAATGCCAAGACATGTTGATTCCACACTGGCACACACCTACCATCTGACATCTTGAGGCATGGAAATTTGATGCTATTCCCTACCATAAAGACACCTGTTGAATTTGACCGACAACCTCCGCGCCGGGTATCCAGTGAAGAAGCATGATAACATGTGAAGGGAAGAACAGCGAACAATCCTGTCTGTTGCCAGTTTCTACCGGACAGTTTTTACTTTCTAACTATTTTTGTGTGTGAGTGGGTTGCACGCAAATTTCAGGCACTCACCGGGGCACGATGAAAAGTAAGGGTGCGAGGGGAGAGGTGGGGTCCGTGAATGGAGGGGGTGTATAAATTGCGTGGCGGTCCGTACAAGATTGGAAACAGGTCATCGTCAGTCCGTACGTTTTGGATAGGACGTGGACCAATGGCATTGTGACAGATCAGTAGGCAGTGTCGTCATTTGGGTCAGTCTGGTTCACGTGGCTGTTCCTTGTTTGGTGAGTTTCATTCTTTGTGTGGTCACTGACTTACCGCCTGCCCGCTGGCTTGGTTTTACTTTTTCCCCCTTCTCTGAGTTCTCTTTTTTCCACCTTTACCTCGGGGTTTTCTTTCTCTTTACATTAATTTGGTTGTGCGCATGTGTCATGTGGTGCGGTGACAGAGCACCATTTGATTTAAAATAAATTTTTGGGTGTTTCTTAGTTTGCATGCTATCTTAAATTTTTTTTTACTTTACTAAACCTTATGATTTGAAAGTTATATTAATTTTTAATTAATTTAAAATTGAGTAGAATGACATCTTATAAGAGAAGAAGAGAAGGTTGTTTTAGTGTTTGTTTCAATTTTAAAATGAAAATTTGGGTGTTTCTTATTTTGCATGCTATCTTAAAATTTTTTTTATTTAACTAGATCTTACATTTAAAGGTCACATTGTTCTTTAATTATTTTGAAGTGAGAAGTAAGTGAAACTTTATAAAGAGAAATTTTTTTAGTATTTATTTTTTATTTATAAATTTTAAATTTAAAATCTTATTAAGAAGAAGTTAAGTTTCTTTCATTTGAATTAATAAATTATTAGTATATGTTATCTTTAAATGATAACATTATAACATAATATGACATTATAAATTTATAATTTATTTTAGGTTAAAGTACTAATTTAGTCCCTTAACTTTAAATTTGTATTAACATTGTCCCACAACTTCAAAAAATATTAAAAATTTTCCTAAACTTTAATTTTTGTACCATAATAGTCCTCAAACTTTAAAGATAATACCAATTTAATCCTTAAATTTTAAAGACAAGTACTAACTTAATCCTTAAACTTTGATTACAAATGCCGAATTAGTTTTTTAACTTTGATTATATATAACAATCTAATATGTAAATGAAAATATATTACGATAATAAAATATAATTGTTTAATTTTACACGTTAGTAGAATTTTCAAAAAGAATTGATTTTATGATAAAATAATAAATTACGTGACACTTTTATTAACAGAAAGGTTTTTTTAGTATTAAAAATTAAAGTTTAGGGATAATTTTAATATTTTTAAAATTGATGAATAATTTTGATATAAATCTAAAAGTTAAGGGACTAAATTGATATTTTAATCTATATTTACAATTAGGGTATTTTTAAATTAGATTTAGGTCCAGATTAATTTTTTTCTTAATAATTTTAAAATGCACCTCTTACATTAGTTAATTTTTATAATTTAATATAATTTAAATTTTAAAACATAAGACTTAGAGCATGTTTAGTGAAACTTGTAAGAGTTTTTACTTTTTTGATACTGTTTATGAGTTATAGGTTTAAATTTTTATTGGATGAAAAATTTTAAAGTTATTTTTAGAAATAAAAGATAATGAGTAAAAAGGAAATGTATAAAAAAATATAAATTTAAAATTTTTCAAAATTTACTATTTAAAATCTTTTTAAAATTTAAAAAAAGTTAAAAAATGTAAATTTTTTTTAAAAAAAATTTAAACTTATAAAATATAAATAATATTAAAAAACTAGAATTCTTACAAGTTTCACCAAACATACCTTATAAATAAACAAATGGAAGAGCTTGTTTCTACCAATCAAAAAAAATGGAAGAGCTTCTTCCATTTTTTTTGATTGGGATGTTAATAACCATGTGCAAAATTGAATAAATTGCCATGGGAACATAACCATTGGGATAATGCCTAAACCCAGAAGTTGGACAATGGCAGGTCACTATCCCTTTGAGAAAGAGTAGGCCCGTACAATGATGACCTGGATTTTGGGTCACCTCCACGTGGTTGACAGGTACCTGTCCCTGTGAAACTCAATTTTGGGTCACCTCCACATGGTTGATGGGTACCTACACATCTTAAACTCATCTAGGCAGCGCAAGTTGCGGCCTTCCTGCAATGGGTTTTCATGTTTTTGACAGAGAAAAAGTGGACCACCAATAGGGTCCACAATTTCAAATTCAATGGGCCATTCGGGCTTATTCTTGACCCTGAAGGGCCTGAAGTCCAGAACAATCAGTAATATTTGTAAATATGGGCCATTGTTTCATCCCGTCTCTTGAGTCTTGAGTCTTGAGTCTTGAGTCTTGATATGGTTTGGGCAGCCCGTTGCAGCTACAAAATAGAAACATGGATCCGGGCTTATTTTTGACCCTGAAGGGCCTGAACAATCCGTAGTAATGGTTAAATATGGGCCAATGTTTCATCCAGTCTCTTGATATGGTTTGGGCGGCCCGTCAGCGGCCACAAAATCGGGAGCGTGGATCCATGCAACTCTAGAGAACGAAGACGAATCTCAAGGTCTCTTTTCCTTCCAAATTTTCGTTTTAATTTTTAATTTTCAATTTTAGTTTTGCTTGTCTAGTTTTGGTTTATGCATATGTTTTTGTCACAATAAAGCAAAGATTTGATGGCAAAAAAAAAAAGAGCAAAGAGTCGAAATTGTAAAAAAAAGGGAGAACCAAATGTTTTCGCTTTGCTGGTAGGTGATTTATTTCTTAACGATTAAGTTTCCATCTTTAGAGAGTCTAATTAATTTTAGACTTTTTATCAAAGACCCCTAATCCCCTATATTAGTCAATTTTCCTTGTATTTTGTAATTCTTCCTTTTGATAAAAACAGGTTAATATTGTAATATAATTTGTTAAAAAAATTATTATTTTCTTTCTTGTTTATCAAATCAAACATACCTTAAACAGTTAGATGTACATTGATTAAAGTATAATAGAGTGGCTTCTACGGTAGTATGACATACTATTTTGTAATTCTTTTATTTAAAAGTTATTTAAATTTAATCAAAAACCTGAATTATTTAGTATTCAATAATCATCTCCTTCTATTAGAAGTAAAAGATCTTGAAGTCAAATCACATGATATGCGAAAAGAAGAGGATAATTGATGAAAAATGATTGCTCCAATTGTGCAAACCAAGATAAAAAAAATATATCCTTTAAATTTCAAATGACAGTATTTAGTATATTTTGGTGAGAATTACTTATACCCATCCCATTAGTACCACTCATTTTCATTCAAGACGGGAATAAGGAAGGAAGTGCTTTTTTTACCCCCCTATAAAAAAATTATTGCAGGATCCCCCCAGCCACCATTAACTAAACACTGGGACAAAAATGGAGAAAGGTCCCTGACCTCTGGGATCTATTACATCACAAGCATAACAAAATTAATTTATTTACATATAGCTGAGGCTCTTATGTTAAGATTGCCTAAAGGCACCGGCATCAGCGTTCAAAACCTAAAATGAAAAAATAAAATTAAAAATTATATACAAATTTTCAGAGATATGAGATTGGTGCGCAAATATTTGAACAGAGATCATAATAAATTAAATTGATGCCAGCACCTTTCAATAAAAAAAAATTAAAAGTTTGAATTGTATGATATATAATTTTTTTTAACAAAGTTATATAAAAGGAGGAAAATAAAGGAATGAAAAGAACTCCAAATTAAGTTTGGTGAGAAGCATTATGTGGGTTAAAATTAATTTTTAGTGTCTCACTTTATAAAATTAGTAGGTTTTAGTTCTTAATTTTATAATATGACGTTTTTAACTTTTTACTTTACAAAATTGATAGGTTTTAACTTTTCACCTTACAAAATTGGTAGGTTTTAACCTTTCACCTTATATTATAGCACTTTTAGCCTTTTATCTATACGAATTGAAGAAAATAGCATTTATCTAACATCAGGTTATAATGTTCTATTAATTCTGTTAGTCGATTGATAGCATCCGTTAGCATTTCTTTAATGGAATTAACAAATAAAATTAAATTTAAATTTTATGTTATTTATAACGAAATGCTAATAGATATTAACAGTTAACTAACATAACATTATAATCTGATGTTAAATGAGGGTTATTTTCTTTAATTTGTATCAGTGATGGGATAAAATATCATAATATAATGTAAGAGGTTAAAACTTATCAATTTTATAAGATAAGGAGTTAAAACTTACAAATTTTATAAGATAAAGAACTAAAACTATTATATATTATAAAGTAAAGAATTAAAATCTATCAATTTTGTATGTTAAGGAGTTCAATATTAGTTTTTGTCGCATTATGTGAGGAGCAGCTAATTACCAAGAGTTTCTCGAGTTATATGATATATAAATGAGATAAAATAAATGTGATAAAAAATAACTACCTCTTGTCATATGCAACTAATACAAGAAAAATAAATTAGACTGATTAATTGTGTGCTAAGTAACGGTGATTTTGTCACATATTTTGTCCGGAATTTATTACTACCCTATTTTTTAAAAATAGGAGTTAAATTGTCTTTACATTTAAAAGGAGAAATAATACTCGCTGTGGTCTTCTCGTCCAAATAAAATTTTTTTCCGCATTAATCACGATTTCTTTTTTCACTCTTCGTCCTCCGTCCATACATCTTTCCAGAAAAGTTTTTAGCGACCCTTACCGTGATCAAAGTGCAAAAATCCAAAAAATGGCGTCGGCTGCTGCATCTCCTTCTTCTCCGGCGAACGAAGAACCGCAGGCGCAGAACCTGGAGAACGATCATCAGCAGCAACCGCTGGTAAAGGAGTGCGTGTACAGAACCAAGACGATGCAGTTCTTTGGTCGTACTACGCCTATTATACTCCAAAACGACAATGGCCCATGCCCTCTCCTCGCCATATGTAAGTCATAATCGTCTATCTCTTTCCATTTCTAGGGTTTTGCTCCCGTGGTTTCGGAATTAGTCTGCTCTGGAAAAGTTGGGATTCATTCTCACGGCTCGTCCAATAGGTTAAATGGTTTGAGAGCTTTTGCTAGCGATCAAGGATCGATTTCCTGAAAACGTTTTTTCAGGTCAATTGGTAGATTATGGTGTTTGCCTGTTTTGCCTTTTGTTTCGTTAGGGTTTTTCGTTTTCTTGTCGTGTATCTCTCGTTTCTTATTGAGTGACTGAGTCTGTGTTAATTGCGGATTTTCGCAATTCTTCATCCTATTGATGAAGAAACGATGCTGAAGAGAAATATGAATCTTGAAATTGTTCGTCCTATTGATTTAATTTTCGAAGAAGCAAGAGGTTTATTAGTGCTTAACAATAATTTTTTTTTGGCTAACCTGGGTTTACGTTAATTTTACTCTTTGTTTTTTTGCTTATCTTAAAGTGCATAATTATTTTCTTCTAATTTAGAAGGTTTCTGCAGCATAATAGAAGTGATTCTGTTTTTGTATTCTATGCGGTCAGTTAGAATTGTTATTATAGTTGTAGAGTTGTTGCTGATATCCTACATCTCTTGGAATATAGATTGAGCCGTAGGTTTTTCCGTGTACATTCGTTTCATAAAACTAAAGTATAGAATTTATCAATTGGATGTCTAGAAGGTTAAATATCTTATGGATGCCCGATTGTATGCTAAAGAAAGATTTAATACCTACATTGGTTTTTCTTTTCCTTTTACTATTTTTAATTGCCAAAAGATTCTTCTGACATATTTGATGGTTTCTGAAAAAATAATGGATTGGCAATGATCACACATATATGTACCTGGCTTTCATTTATGGCTGTTGTCATATTTTGTCTAAATGCATTTTAATGATGAATTTGGGGGTTTCAACAGGTAATGTTCTTCTTCTGAGGAACAACATTAAGCTGAGTCCTGATATATCTGAAGTTTCACAAGAGAAATTGCTTTCACTGGTGGTGGAGCGACTGATTGATTCCAACAGTAATGTCAATGTAATTTCCTTCCTTTTTCGTTATTCACTTTTTGCCAGTATACGTAGACACTAATTCTGGTGCACCTTTTTGGCATACAGAATAAGGATGATGAGTACCTTAAAAATCAACAGCAGAATATTGCAGATGCAATGAATTTGCTTCCACGGCTTACAACTGGGATTGATGTAAATATAAAATTCAGGAGGTTAGACTCCTCTTCTCTCAACCCTTTTTTAGAAATCTTTTTCTGTTGTAGTGATTGAAGCACATGTTCCACTTGCAGAATAGATGATTTTGAATTCACTCCTGAGTGTGCCATATTTGATTTGCTGGACATTCCCCTATGTCATGGTTGGATAGTTGATCCTCAGGTAAAATCCCCTCTCTGGTCAAGTCATGTTCAAACTAAGATATACTGAAACTCATCTTATTTGTATTTTTAATGCTCTGATCCCTATTCTGTGGTAATTGGTGTTTGTCAAACTCCCAATGGAAAAAAATCTTCTATGCTTAGCCTGATTTAGAAAATTCTGTGCATCCACGCCACTTCTGTCAGGATTTGGGATTTGCATGGTTCACCTCTTTGGGTTTCCTCCATTTGTAAATATTTTTTCTAAGTGAATATATATATATATATATATTATATTTGATTGTAGCTTGTACCTGTTTCATGAAATGTGTTTTGTATTGGACCATGATTTGATGATTAGTTTTTAACGTGCAAATGTGCCAGGACTATGAAACTTCAATTGCAATTGGGTCAAAATCTTATAATACCATCATGGGGGAGCTTGTTGCACTAGACACACAAAACATGGAGGGTATGCCTAAAAATAATTCTGAAGATTGTGTAGATTTTGCTGCCGCAACAACTGCAACTCTTGGAGTTCCTTCCCCTAGCCTGTCAAAAACCAGATCTTTTGATAGTTCTCCCAGTTCTGTCTCTGATCCCCCAAAAAGAAGAGGGGACCTTGAAGAAGAGGAAGAACTGTCAAGAGTCTTGAAATTATCTGAGACTGAGTCTACAAACGTTGGCAATTCTCTTGGAGCTGCGTCAGATGCTGTGGATGGGAGAACTTGTTCGGAAGACCTTGTTTCTGTAGATTCTGTACGTACAAGAGATGGGCAAAATGGTGTTGGAAATCAGAATTTGCAGTACCCAGAGTTATCCTTGTCAGATAATTGCAATGATAATGATAATGCGACCTGTTTGAAGCGCTTTGCAAAGGAGGAAAAGATTGATGGGTGTGATCATTATGTTGATCAATCATCCTTCTTGAAATCTGGAGATATTAAACATTTTAGTGATGTGGTTGAGAAGGGTAGTGCTTCTGCATTTCTTCAGATAAAAGATCCAGTTTCTATTTCTCCTGCAAAAGACACTGCAGCCGTAGATAAAAATGGTACTGGCACTTTTCACATGGGTGAAAAAGTTGAGCTTCAATCTACTTCGACAATCAGTGCTAATGAACAAGCAGATAAAGATAGTGGGTGTGATAGAACAGAAGTATTGTCCTTGTCTTTACCAAATGCAGATTCAGAGTCATCTAGTGGCAGAATACTGCCTGGAGATGTATCTGAAACTGTTACTTCTAGTCTCGATGACAGTGAGCCCATTTATGAAGGAGAGGAGTGCATACTGGATTCAGGAACTAAAGTATATCATGAGCGGGAGCCTGTATATGAAGGTGAGGTGATTCTTGCTGAACAAGCTGACAAAGGAACTCTAGATACTTGTGATGTGAGATCTAAGGATGAAATCACTGCACAACAAGGTTGGTGGTGCTTCTCGAAAAAAATGCAATTCGATACTATTGTGCATTGAGTAATCTGTTTGCCCTTTAAACTATAATATAGCATGGCTATGAAGATGGCTTTCTCATGTTTTTCAATACATTTCAGGGGAACTGATAAGGAACTTCTTGAAGAACAATGCCAACCAGTTGACGGTCTATGGGTGTGTTAACCTGCTGTTGGCTTCTAATTACTTCTGGGTTCCAAAAGGTTTTGTTCTTTCTGCACAAGTAAGAGCTATGTACTGATTGTTCAATATTTTTGCAGGCTTTTTTGCTTACAAGATGGTCTGAAGGAACGTGAGCTTTGTGTTTTTTTCCGTAATAATCATTTCAGCACCATGTTCAAGGTCAGTGAATTAGTGAACTTTCCATCTATGATATGCCAGATATAATTGCACCTGTTGAATAGGGTGAACATTATGATGTTGATTTCTGTGACCACTTTGTCCTCCAAACTTTGTAAATTGTTGTATTGAATCTTTACTTTATTTGCAGTATGAAGGTGATCTTTATCTTTTAGCTACAGACCAAGGTTACCTAAATCAGCCAGATTTGGTTTGGGAGAAACTGAATGAGGTAAATATCTTGCCTCAAATTATTTTGTTCTTTTCTTTTCTTGTGCATGGTAAAACAAGAATATGAAAGTTTTTGAAATATAGCAGAATGTTGCTGAAAAGACTTCCTTACTTTTTTTAAATCTTGAGATTGAGACCATGTAAAATATTTGTTTTTTTCTTCCCTGTCATATGGCTGCTGTTTTTTTGAAGGTTTCATGTCCAATTTCTAAGTCTCTTATGTTTTCAGGTCAATGGGGACACGTTGTTTATGACTAGTAATTTCAAGGAATTCAAGGTGGATAGTCATACAAGTGATACATGGGATGAACATAATGCCATGGCCAATACTGCTGTACATGGCTCTTTTTTTCTTCTATTTGAATTCTATACAAGTTGGTTTTAAGTGGCTTCTATGTAACTTACTTCAGGTGTTCATGCTGCAGGATTTTATTGCCAGCATTGATAGTGCAGCACAGGCAGGGTTGGATATAAAGTACTTATCCTGACTTCTGTGCCTCTTGACTGAAATTGTTGGATTTTATTTTTATTTATTGTACTCAATCAGACTGTTTGCTCTGCTTGGATCAATCTCTTATCTGAACCTCTTGTGACAGTGATTTCATTATAGCCTCTTCATTTGAATGGTTGGACCTAGTTCTATGATAATTTGTTTAACTGGAAGCTTCTGACTTCATAGCAATATCTTTATGCCACTTGGGATTCTTTCATTAAGTGGGATTCCCTCACCTATGGAATTAAGTCATTAACTTCAAACTGCCAAAGATTTGTTTTAGTAACAATTTTATAACTTGACGACATTTAACATTTTGATCATCACCTTAGTTGGAAGTACTGGTAAAATTAAAAGTGTTTTTCCTTTTTTTTTTTTTTGAATTATTTTAAAGTTTAATATGTTTTCATGGTTGTTCATGAAGTAATCATTGTGCTAGTCAATAAGGTTTCACTAATTCTACACAATTTTACAGCTCTGATTTGCAATTGGCAATAGCTCTGCAGCAACAGGAGTTTGAACAGCAACAACAGCGACAGAATGTTCAGCAACCAACTGTTAGTGGGGCTTCAAGATTGGTCACAGGTCCGCAGGTAAATAATCAATATTCCCATCTTTTCAAACATGCTCTTGCGGTGAAAAAAATAAAACCATCATCTTCAGTGTCTGATGGCTTGAACCTTCATATGAGGTTAAATCACTTAGACCAGCTTGCTACTGAGTATATAGACAATTCAAGTGGCAAAACTTCCAAGAATTCTTAGCGCAACATTAGAATGGTTTGTGAATTGTTCTGAAAATGGATATGGTACGAGATTGTACGAGATCATTAGTCTTTGCAAGAGCCTCAAAATGTTTGTTGTTCTGATTCATTTTACCAATTATTCAATGAAGATGAAAATAATTGATGCAGCCTTTAAATCTTGGACGCCTTTTTATCTAGGAATGGCAGTTTTGAGAAAGTATTCACCATCTCCTACATCATTGCCCTGCTCGGGCGGACTCATGATCTTATTGCATTGTGCAGGTGCCAAGAAATAGCGGAAGGCAGCCCTCAACTCCAAAGGCCGAGGCAAAATCTAAAGAGAAATGTATCGTGATGTGAGTTCTGCATTCAGACATCTGGAAAATTCCTAATGTAAATTGTTTGCATGTTTTGGTCCATTGTATTGCGTAACACTAATAAACCCAATTAACCCTACTTGCTATGTTAGATCAAGTTTTTGACTGTAAAAAATTTGCATAGTCTCTTACTAAATAGACTTGTTCAGGCTATTAACTTTACCCTTCAAGCATGAATTTGTAGCAAATCAAAGTCAAACCTCGGTAACACTAACTCCATCACTTGGGAAGGTACTGTTTGTCAAGTTGCAATTAGAGTTGCAAGTAAGTGTCCTTGTTAAACTGCTTTAGTAGACCACGTGAAGGACCACGTAGCCCCCTATGCAATCCCTATCCCATGGGGACCGCAGCTTGGAATTATTTCAATAAAGCCTTCTTCACGCCTGAAAAGTCATAGGAACTTTTGTTTTCAAGACAGCATCTGACGTTGATGCGGCCGAGCAACTGGACAAGGCCTCAACCAAATATATTAAATTCTTGGAGTCAGCATCAATCAAAGTGGGGTTGGGCCTTAGTCCTCACGCCTGTATACGAAGATAAGAACACGGTAACGGGAGGTATGTAGAAATTTGGTAGGTATAGTATAAGCATCAATTATTGAGTGGTAGTGTGAGCATCTGTTGTGTTGTAGGTAAAACGTCATGGGGTTTGGGTATCAGGAGAACCTTGTACCTCTCTTTGCCCAAATCCGGTCAAAACGTAGGGTATACTTCCTTCTGCACTCTGCAGACCTAGCCATTCCATATGGGGGGGACTCTCTCTCCCACTGTGTTGTTCAACCCGTTTGGCACTTTACACTTCTTTAATTCGAGGTGTCATCAAATGAAGTAAAATGCTAGGCAAATAACAACCTTATCATATAAGTACTCTTTAACCTCTGGTTCTCAAGCAGATATCAAGTTAATTGAAAGCTTAATATATCCTCACACAACAACTGGTCTAATTGAGGACCGAAACCTACCAGCCGTTGGCTAAGACCCTGACTCACTACTAACGGGCAGGACAAGCCACCCCACCCCATCCCTCACCCCCCCACCCTTTTATCGGCCGTCGACAACCCACCATTTTCTGTCCCTCAAATATTCCTTTTGTTTAATTTATCAGGGAAGTAATGAAGGTGGGATGCACGTTTTAATAATTGTTGATAACGGATGAGCCCATGTAATATTAAGATGATTTTTCTCTATTATTGATCATTATAAAATATATAATTTGCACAAAATGAATTGCAAAACTATGAATTCTTTATTCATATGCTAAACGTTTTTGAAAAAAAAAAACAAAAACAAAAATTTGCACATATACCTGTTACAATTTATACTCCTACTTAATTTTAGTTGAACTAAATTTTTAACTGGAGCGTTTACTTTTTCCTTTTTAGATGTTGTTTAATATGATTA